CCCCGCGTGGGATCCCGGGGAAGTCGTCGAGGGCCCCTCCGCTCGGCCCCCGAGTCCCGCGAAGGCTGCCCGTCCCGAGCCCCGGTGCCCTCTGCGCCCTCCGACCCGCTCTCCCCTCGAGGTCTGGGGGCGGCGGCTCGGGACGTCCAGACTCAACTCTCGGCCGGAGCCAGAGACTCGAGAATTGCGTTTGGACAATCAGGAGCCGCGGCCCGGGCGGGGAGGGGGCGCGCGGAAGCGGGGACACACGCGCGACGGGGCCCCGCGGGGAGGGGCGTGTGGGTGGGGGGCACGAGGGGCACAGTGTGCAGTGGGAGTGGGCAGCGGCCTCTTAGGACCCTCGGAGAGGAAGGGGGCCCGCAGGAGAGAGCAGGAAGGAGCGGAGCCGTCCGCGCTGAGGGCAGGGAACGAGAGGGGTACGCGGAAAGCGACCGTGATGGGCGATCGGCCCGCCAGTCTGAGGTGGGGCTCCAGGACTTGGGCCGAAGCTGCCAGGGGGTGGCTTGTCTCTGGGACAAGTTAGCAGCGGGTCCCCTCGACCCCCACCCCAGTTCCCCCCTACTTCCCTGTCCTCTCCTTCTGTCCGTGGCCAGTCCTTATGTGGGCGCCCGAGTCGATTAGCGCGGACCCCCTCCCCTTCCTCCTCCTCCTCCCAACCCCCTCCCTTCTGCTCTCCTCCAGCCCCTTTCATCGGCTGGTCCATTCCCCTAATCCTGGCCCCCTCCCCTAATCCCCCCCATCCGACCCCAGGCCGGCTGCAGCTATTGTAAGGTGGAGAGAGAGGGGAGGGGGGACTGAGAGAAAGGAGAGGGGTGGGGGAGGGCCACCTGTTCCAAGACCCCCTTCCAAGGCCAGACTGGACACCAGGATGGGGCCAAGAACAAATCACCCTTGGGGACCATAAGGACCCAGGCAGTTGGGGGAAGGGCACTGGCCTTCGGATCCAGTGAGAGGGGGTGGGGCAGAAACCCCTCCCTCCAAAAAGACCCAGAGTGTCACGCATACACAGTGACATACACTCTTTCCTCTCACACCCGGCGGCGGGGGTTGCCCTGGGAGACCAGGCAGTGAAAGGGAACAATCCTTAGGGAAAGGGAAAGAGGGGGAGGTGGGGAAGGGTCTGAGGGTTTGGACACAAGAAGAACCGGAGGTGGCAGGGAAGAGGATTTGGAATTTATTAGGGTCACAAGCACCCCTGCCTCCCATATTCAGCATTCCTGAGCCATACACCGCCACCCCTTTTGTAGCCTGGGAACTTAGAGTCCTCATCAGCAGGAGGCCAGGCAGAGTGGTGGGGGGGTGGTGAGCAGAGTCCAGGGTCCTCGAGGCTGTTACATGAAAAGACCTCCTGGTAGGAGCAGAAACATTGGGACAGACGCATGGGTGGAGAGAGAAACAGGCCCGGGGTGCCCACTTCTGTCCCTGGCCTGGGGACCCTCTGCCCTTCCCAGGGGCTCCGGGCTCCCCTCGCGAGCTTTCCCATCTGGTCTGGGTGCCACTTCTCCGCCCTCTGCCTCCCCACGAGGGCCTCATACCAGTGACTTCCACCGAGGCCCCGGTGATGTATCCGCTGTCTTCAGAGGCTAAGAATGCAACCACATCTGCCACATCTACGGAAGGGGCGGGCAGAGTCCCACGCATTTCCCTGGTCCCTGAGCAGCCTCCCCAGCCCCCAGGCTTGGTGCGACCCTCAGCGATCCCACAACGCTTGGGATCTCCTCCTTCGGGCCCCCTCTCGGGACCACCGGCCCAATCGGTGCTCACCCTCAGGGTTCCCCATGTGTCCCATCGGGATCATTCCAGTCACCTGTAAGGAAGCACTCCTATGTGGGTGAAAGTTTTTTTTTTGAATCGATTTTTTGGAAGACTGTGCTTTTCCCCTTTTGTCTCTACCCCTCAGACGTTTATCAAGTACTTACTATTTGCCAGACACTGTGCCCAGCACTCTCTCTCCGGCCCACAGAGGTCGGAGCTCTGACCCATCTGCCTCCACCCACAGCCTCCTACCTTGTCCTTTACTTTCTGTGGCATTTTCTGAGTCATAGGTGTTGCAATGAACCCTGGGAGGACAGAGTTGCAGCGGATCCCGTGTCTGAGGAAGGGAGAGTAGCTGCTGACTCTGGGGAGAGCACTGACCTCTCCCTTGGTCCCCTACGTTCCGCTGCGAAGTGCCCCTGGTCCCCGGGTGTCCGACCCACCGTCCGAGCTCCCGGGCTGCAGTCTGCGTCAGCCCGATCACTCCAGCTTTGGACGCCGCATAGTTCGCCTGGCCCATGTTCCCCACCTGCAGGTGCGCCAGAGATGCAGGGTGAGTCGAGTCTAGAGGAGGGGCCCTGCTCTGTGTGCCCACAGGGCCGGCTGCCCTTGCCCCTACTCGACCTGACCTTCCCAACGATGCTACTGATGTTGATGATGGAGCCATGACTACCACTGGACACCAGGGCCTGGGCTGCAGCCTGGGTGACCAGGAAGATACCCTGGCCGGAGAGGGTGATAGGAGGAAAGGATCGATCAGCCCAGGTGACTTCCGCCTCGGGACAGGGCCGGGGAGCGTGAGTTACAGGCTCAGAGGTCGCCACCTTGAGGTTGACAGCTATGACTCTGTCCCAGTCATCCTCGGACATTTGCAACAGGAACTCATCTCGGGTGATGCCCGCACAGGACACGACGACAGATGGCGGGCGAGAGAAGCAGGCCTGAGGGAGGGGGAGGTTACGCACGAAAACCCCACAAAGAGCCCGGGCAGTAGGGCAGCGTCAGAGCTTTATCGGGCGAGGCAGCCGGCGTTCACCTGCACTTGCTGCAGCAGGCTCCTGGCGGCCCTGGCCTCCGACACGTCGGCCTGGAAGGCTGCGTGGTTCCCGCGGGGCGCCCCCTCCTCGCTCCCCGGCCCGCCCAGCAGCTGCACCGTCTCGCGCGCCGCTGCCCCGTCCAGGTCACAGGCGGCCACGGTGGCCCCCTCCCCGGCCAGGCGCGCACAGACCGCACGGCCGATGCCGCTGCCGGCACCTGGGTGGGAGAGACGCGCGGGGCGGGGCTCGGGGTCAGAGGTCACAGGGCGCAAGGTTAGTAGAATTCGGACAAGGGGTCAGAGGCCACGGGGCTAGCAGGGTCTCGGGGGCGCATCCTCTGACATCAGTCCAGCACCCAACCCGTCCCGGGAGAGGACCCCTCAACCTGTGACCAGGGACAGCGCGGAGCGGAGCCGGAGCTGAGTCGCCATGGCGGGCCGCGGGTGGGCGGGCACTGCGCACCCAGGGCCAATCCGAGCGCGCAAGGGGCGTGGCCAGGACCAGGCCGCGGCCAATGGACGCCCCACCAGCTCTGGGCCATCTGCGGCCACCAGCGCCGGCCGGCCTCCCACCGCGGGGGCAGGGCCAGACGCCAGCGCACCGGGTCCTAGGCAGTGGGGGAGACACAGGGCCCCATTACCCCCGCAAAGAGACAAAGACTGCATATGGGGCGGAAGAGCCAAGAACTTTATTTCCGGTCACCACCCCTCCCCTTGATTTAAACAGTGATATAAAAAAATGAATACAAACAAATCAGGCCAACGAACCCTCTCCCACCCCTCACCCCCCATCACCCCCAAATCAGGACGCACGATTGCCGTTTACTCCGGACTCCTTGTTAGCCCCTCTGTCCAGTGCTCTGGTCTTCCCTGAAGCCTCCACCGGGTGGTGGAAGAGAGGGAGGTGGACCTTGGAGAACTGTGTGCGGCAGCTTGGTCCTCTGAAAACAAGGGCTGGGGCCGCCAGGCTGTCGTTACCTCTGTCCCTTTCAGCCTTCTTCGTGGCCTCCTTTATCCCCCAACCTAACAGTATGGTCAGGCAGTGCCCAACACTGGTCCCTCCTGCCTCTCCGTTCCCCCCTCTACAGCCCCTCTGGTTTCAACTCCTTACACTGGCTGATGTTCCTGCTCATGGCCTCCAGCACCCCCCAGGCCCCTGCCCTGGAGTTTGGGGGAGAGGTCTGGAGCAGGGGTGGGGATGCTCTCTCCCACCCCTCACTCCAAGTGGGCAATCAGCACCATCATGACAACTCCCCCCAGCAGCCCCAGCACCTCCAGAAGTGACTGTAAAGGTGACGCTTCCCTTAACAGCTCAGGCAACACCGACACCGTTGCCACGTAGATAAAACCACCAGCAGTGAATGGCAGAACCCAGCCAGGACCAGTACCACCTGCAACTGCACTGCCCACTGCCCCTCCTTCAGTGAGAAGGGCACAGGCTGCGCCCGCCAGCGCCCCTACTGCAGTCAGTAGCTGTAGACGCATCGCCTGGTGGGCGGGAAAGAGAGAGAGAGGCACTCAGCAACTGCTAAGGATGAGCAGTGGTTTAGATGTGGCTGCACAGGTATAGAACGCATGTGTTTGGAAACTGAAAAGCTAGGTAAAAATGGGAGGGGGTTTCTACAACACATATTTCCTGAAAAACCTTAAGAAATCAAAGCGGTTCTTCCATAGAACCTTCTGATTGAGTAGGACAGGAGTGTCTGTAAGACTTTACTCATAAACCATTCAGATGGTTCACAGACCAAATTTCAAGAAATACTGAACTAGGCTGGGCATGGTGGCTTGGAATCCCAGCACTCTAAGAGGCTGAGCCAGGAGGATCTCAAGTTCAAGGTACTGGCAATTCAAGCAACTGAGCAACATCCTATCTCAAAAAAGTAGAAGAGCTGGGAATGTGCTTGAGTGCAAAGGCCCCGGGTTCAATCTCCAGTACTGCAAAAAACAAACAAGAAACTGAGCTATAGGACAAAGAAGTATCTTTCCTCTCACTTCTAGAGATTTGTTGTAATAGCATAGCTTGTTCGGAACTCACGCGAGAGGCAGTCTTGGGCTCGGGGTGTGTGAACAGGGATATGTATTTAAGGCAACTACGTTGGGCGGACATCTCACCAACCTGCTTTTTGCTACAGCCCGACTGGACCAAGATGGCAAAGTCCCCGACCTCATGGGGCACTTCATGTAGAAGGACAGTCATTGTGGTCAGGATGCCCAGCCCTCGGCCCCCACGGAAGGACGCACCAATGGCCAGACCATCGGTGAAGTTGTGTGCAAAGTCGGCAGCCAGGTTCAGGTACCCAGACACACGCAGGTCTTGTACAAGAGAGGAAGGAAAAATGATTAGAGGTTTTGGGCACCACCAGCCCCAGTCCTGGTCACCCACTGTCGTATTTCCCCTGAGACTGCTTCCCATGCAGTCCCTGAGCATTTCCCCGACAGCTGCCGTCACCCACAGCACACATGCCGAGTGCCTGATGCACCGTGATGACCCTGGCCCACGCTTATCACCCACCATCCCTGGCCCTTACCTGAACCTCTTTTTTCTCCTTCAGGGTTCTGAGGTCTCACTGGGCTGTCTCTGGGCCTGGTGCTCCCTCCTCTCCTCTTCCGCAACCCTCCTGCTTCCTTTTCTTCTTCCTCTGAGCTGGGCTTCTCCTTTGAAGGGTGCTCTGAAGGAGGAAAGGAGTTGGTCAAAATGGAGAACAAAAATGTTCCAACGTATCTTCAAAGGGAAGGCCGCTCCACTAGACAGGTATGACACGAGGGGACTCTAAGGGGGGCAAGGCGGCTTTCAGTGCAGTTGCTCCTGGGCTCACCCTGCTTCTCATGTCCATGACCTCCATGTGCATGACTGTGTCCATGTCCATGTCCTCCTTTCACATGTCTCACAAATTTCTCCACCACCAGGAAGGCAACAATTCCACTGAGAACCCACAGCCCCACAGACAGAATGGGGCCCTGGCCTGGGAATACAGGCATGGAGACATTAAGGGAAGTGTAGATCCCACACTCCTCTTCCTCAAGTGCAGGAGATAAAGCACAGGGAAAGACGTTCCCCAGTACCCTCACCCTGGTAGCCACATTTCTTCCTCACCACTGTGCGAGTGTCCATGTCCAGGCTGCTCCGGAGTGTGGTGAGAATGAGGCTCTGCAGGAAGGAAGGAAAAAAGCCAGATGAGGGTGAGGGACTACCCTGAGAATGGGACGTTCCATTCTCCCACTGCCACTTTACCAGTGTGGTGGCATCTGCACAGCTGTGAAACCACACAGCGCTGAGCACCTCACCCAAGGGACTGGGGGGGGGGTCACAAAGGAGACGGGAATCTTTTATTCTCAAAGAATTAAACAGTCTAGACATTGAAGCACAGCCCCGAGATTACTTACCCAGGGCATGAGGGATAAGGTGCAGGAAGGCATCTCCCAGGAGCCCCCCGGAAGCAAAGCTGAGCAAGATCTGGAGCAGAGAGCGATGTCGGGGCGAGTTTGACTCTACTGGGATGAGGAAGAGGACGAAAAATGGAGCTGCAGAGATCAGCACTGTGGCCCCCAGTGCCTGGTGAAGGAAAGTCAAGGGTCAATGCTGCGGAGTTTCTGAACCATACAGAACCACTCCCTCCCTCCCCCATACCCTGAGCACTTACATAGGCCCAGAGAGTGACAGTGTCCAGGTCATGCTTGATGCCTGGGGACCCTGGTTCCCCATAGCCTCCTCCATGGCTATGTTCCTGGTCAGGTCCATGTCCTCTGCGGTGCAGGCTCTCATGGGAGTGGCCATGGCTATGGCCATGGTGCAGGTCCTCATGTGAATGTCCATGGTCGTGACCGTGGGTGTGCCCATGCCAGATGCTCTCATGAGTGTGGCCATGGCCATGGGCATGGCTGTGTCCGTGGTGGAAATCCTCATGTGAGTGGCTGTGGCTGTGGCCGTGGAAATCCTCTTGCACGTCCTTCTGCGAGTCACCATGAGCCCCGTGTCCGGCCACCAGCAGCCCCAAGGCTTCCCAGGTCAGCAGTCCCACTGCCACCCAGTGTGGGGCCCGCAGGCCGCTGGCCATCACGCTGACCAGAGGGACAGAGACAATGATTCCACTTTGACTCTCAATTCTGCTTTAATCCGCTTGTGCCCTCCGTCCACTTCTCTGGCCTGCTCCCCCATTCCATTCCGTCCCCACTCACACTGTTTCCAAAACCCGTTCCCTTTATCCCCGAACTCCTTCCCGGATGCGCCCCCCGCCCCCACAACCGCTCTTGCCTTTAATTGGCCGCTTTACGGACTCTCTGGGCCCTCGTCTCTATGACCCATTAGGTGGGGAAAAGGCCTGGAAAAGACAGTAGGGAAAAGCAGGGGATTCTCACCGGCGGCGGGGTCCTCTCCTTTCCCGGTTTGCACGGACGTGGCAGTCACGCCTCTAGCTCCCGCGAGAACCGGAAGTTCCGTTCTCCCTCCGCCCCGATACTGCACCTTTACCAATATGGCAGCCCCCTGATCGAAGTGAAGCCCTACGGTAGCAGCGCGCGTGCGCGAGCGTGAGGTTATTTGAGGGGATGGTAGGCGAGGCCCGCTAACTGGCCGGAGTAGACAGCCTGCTCCGTTTCTAACTAGGCGAGGGGGCGGAACTAGCGACGAGACTTCCCGTCTGTACAAAGATGGCGGCCGCAGTGGCGCTGTCATTTTGGTACCGAGCCCAGCGAAGCGCTTAATTCGACCCGATCCAGGCCAGAGTCTTTTCCTCTAGGCCTTCTTCGTGCTCAGCTAGTTCCCTGGGCAGTCCCTAGGGATCCGTGGCGCCTCTCCGCTGTCCCTCCACTCAGCCAGGAGTCATGTCTTGGGCTGCCCGCCCGCCTTTCCTCCCCCAGCGGCATGCCGCAGGGCAGTGTGGGCCGGTGGGGGTGCGAAAAGAAATGCATTGTGGGGTCGCGTCCCGGTGGCGGCGGCGACGGCTCTGGCTGGATCCCGCGGCGGCAGCGGCGGCGGCGGCAGCCGGAGAGCAACAAACCCCGGAGCCGGAGCCGGGGGAGGCTGGACGGGACGGGATGGGCGACAGCGGGCGGGGTGAGTGTCCGCGCGGACGGGCAGGCGAGCTGCTGCCCTCGCGCTCTGCACCCCTCCCCCAACCCTCCCCGCGCCGTCGCGGGCGCTCCCGCCCCCTTGTTTGTAAACACGCGTCCTCGCCCTCCCGAGGCCGCAGCGCCCTCCCCCCGGGGCGGGGCGGCGCGGGCAGCGGGGAGCTCCCGAGGGCCGGCCGAGGCCGCGGGAGGCCCCGCGCCGAGGTCCCGGGCGTGGGAAGGACACGATTCGCCTTGAGCCTGAGGACTCTGGACTTTGGAAGGCAGCTCCTGCTGCCTCGGAGGGGCTCTTCCGCCTCTTCCCCTGCACGCTCGCGCTCCCAGGCTCGGAACTGGTAACGGAGGGGTTGGCTGGAAAACCCCACGTGCCGCCCCACCCACGAGACAGGGCGGCTTGGGGTGACCCGGGGTTCATTCAGTTGCTTTGCTCGCAGTGTTTCCTCACCGAACTGTCCTCCTCTTTAGCCAACCCCGGTTCCTACCGCAGGAGTTAAACTGTTTGACAGCCGGGACAATTTCTGGGTTCAGGCGTGGTTGGCCTGGGGTGGGGTCGGGAAAGGTGGGGGGGATTACAGAATTAAAGCCTCCAGGGGAGTGATTGGAGACTCACACTCTCTTTTTCCTCTCTCCTGCCCTGTGTGTGTCTCTGTGCCTATGTGGTGGACCCCTCCCGCAGATTCCCGAAGCCCAGACAGCTCCTCTCCGAATCCCCTTCCCCAGGGCGTCCCTCCCGCTTCTCCTCCGGGGCCTCCCCTCCCCCCTTCAGCCTCATCCCTTGGAGGCTCTGGGGCCCCACCCCCACCCCCCATGCCACCCCCTCCGCTGGGCTCCCCCTTCCCAGTCATCAGTTCTTCCATGGGCTCCCCTGGCCTGCCCCCTCCGGCTCCTCCAGGATTCTCCGGGCCTGTCAGCAGTCCCCAGGTGAGAGGTTGTGACCCGCTTACCATCTCCCCACTTTCACTTCCCCAGATGCTTTAGTGGACTTCCTCGTAGCCCGTGGCCCTTCCGGTCCTCTAGTTCTGGTGCAGCTGTGGTCCTTCCAGCACCCTTGCCCTTCCTGAGGTGGCCGGTGTTTCAGTGCATGCTTCCTCCTTAACCCTGTTTAACTAGTTAACACCCCCAGTACTTCCGATGTCCCTTTCAGTTATCAGTGACTTTCTGCCCTTTTGATCCCATCTGCCCTGCCGAGACACACGCCCTTCAGGGCCACCGTGTTGCCCCGAGTGAGGGGAGCACTGCTCCTTCTCTCTGGAGTTGTGCACGGAGTTGGCCCTTCTGTAGACTGCAGGGTAACGAACGCCTCCTGGAATGTGCGTGCAGGGCCCCGCCTAGTGGTAGGAAATGATTTCCATGACCTCTGAGAGAGTCTCCTTCCCGGTGTGTCTCCCCGTGACTTCCCTATTTCCCTCATCCCAGATTAACTCAACAGTGTCGCTCCCTGGGGCCGGGGCTGGCACCCCTGAAGATGTGAAGCCGCCAGTCTTAGGGGTCCGGGGCCTGCACTGTCCACCCCCTCCAGGTGGCCCTGGGGCTGGCAAACGGCTGTGTGCAATCTGCGGGGACCGAAGCTCAGGTAGGGGCTCGGAGCCGAGGCTCAGAGGAGGGAAGTCCGGGCCCGTTAGCACCTTCGCGATTGCCTGGCCCCGGGGGTTGCGAGCTGGGGCAGCTGGAGCCTGACGCCCGGATGTGGGACGGACAGGGAGTGGTCGGAGGGACAGGGGCTCCTGTAGTGTTTCTGACTGACAGGGGGGATGTCATCCCTCCCCGTCCTCATCGCTGTATCCGGCACACACAGGGAGGACTTGGACTGAGTCTGGCGCGCGGAGGTTGGTTAGGGCGAGGAGGTCTCGCGCAGCCCGCTTACTGCTGTCCCCGTACCCTTGCAGGCAAACACTATGGGGTTTACAGCTGCGAGGGCTGCAAGGGCTTCTTCAAGCGCACTATCCGCAAGGACCTGACCTACTCGTGCCGGGACAACAAAGACTGTACGGTGGACAAGCGCCAGCGGAACCGCTGTCAGTACTGCCGCTACCAGAAGTGCCTGGCCACCGGCATGAAGAGGGAGGGTAAGCACGTGCCTCTCGCAGGCTTCCCAGGCCACGAGCCGCCTCGCCTGTCCCACGAGACTGAGGGATCCATAGCTTGAGTACCTGTCTGGGACGCGGTGCTGCTTGCTCTGTCCTCCAGGGGGCGATGTTTGCGCTTCCCTCTCCTTAGTGCTTCCCCTCGGTGCCCTGCTCCGGGTCTCCCTCGGGTTTCCTCTTAATGGTTCTCCCCAGGGCCTACGCTGGAGGCCCCGCCCCGCCCAGTGCAGTCCTAGGGCAGGGCCCCCTCTCTCAGCGGCGATGGCTTTCCGTGTGTCCTCCAACCGGAGCCGCCCCTCCGCTCTCATCCCACACTCTTCTCCGGTCTCCACCTTCCGGTTCTCTGACCCCTGGGCTCTACCATCTTAAGCTGCAGACCTCACCGAAAACCTCGGGGCTGCCTTCCCGCTTCTGCGTCTCCCTCCTAAGCCTGGTCCCAGAGTTCTGAAAGAAACGCTTCCGAGTTTCTTTATTAACCCCCTCCTTCCAAGGGGAGCGGCTGAGGCCTGGCTTTCCCGAGGTCCCCCACCCCAAGGGCAGCGGGGCCGGGATCAGAGCCCACGTCTCTGAATTCCCTGGCCAGGGCTCGTTTTCCTGCCGCGACACTTAGTGAGTTAGGACAGGCGCCGCCGCCAGGCATGCTTGCATTCAGATCGGCGGCTGTAAGGTACTGCGTGAATTTAGGCAAGCTATTTAACCTCTCTGGGCCCCGAGTTCTTCATCTTTAAAGGTGGGAACACGAGCTCACAGGTTCCTTAGGACTTCAGTGACTGTCGGAGCATGTTGGGCTCATGGCCTGGTGCCCAGGTGGCCCTCTGCCTACGCGCTAGCTTCCTCCCTAATTCCTCAGCCATCTCCTTCCCTTCTTGACTTACATGTCTGTCCTTTTATAGCCTCTGCTTGCAGACTGCCCCACTCCACCTTTGCTAGTGAACCCCCAGTTGCTATAAATACCTCCCGGGAGATTCCAGGCCCCGATAGGACCCCAGGATCTTGAAGAATCCCCGTGGCTGGCGCTGACTTTCTGTTTTCTCTCCCCCACCCCCACCCCGCAGCGGTGCAGGAGGAGCGGCAGCGGGGGAAGGACAAGGATGGGGATGGGGAGGGGGCTGGGGGCGCCCCCGAGGAGATGCCCGTGGACAGGATCCTGGAGGCAGAGCTTGCTGTGGAGCAGAAGAGTGACCAGGGCGTTGAGGGTCCCGGGGGAACCGGGGGTAGCGGCAGCAGCGTGAGTGATGGGGTCAACCTCTTCCTCTTTGTGGCCCGGGTTGTGGGAGGGAGTCTAGGTCTGTCCTGTCTCCCCACTGGCCTCCTCCCACCCTCCACACTGCCCGGACGGAAGTAGTGCCTAACAAGGCCTCTCAGACGTCTGAGGTGGGTGTGGCTGCCCCCTCTGTCCACACTCCACTGGCAGAACCACAGGCCGGTCCCAAAGAAATAACTGTTTACACGAATGCCAGGAGAGAGGCCCGCTCTGTACGGATTGCTTTAGATGGGCTTGCAGCAAGATTAGATCTAAGGAGGGGCGTCAGATCTTACAAGGAGTGCACCCAGTGTACCTCCAGACCTTCCATACATCTTACCCCCCTTTTCCCTGCAGCCGAATGACCCCGTGACTAACATCTGTCAGGCAGCTGACAAACAGCTCTTCACCCTTGTTGAATGGGCGAAGAGGATCCCCCACTTTTCTTCCTTGCCTCTGGATGACCAGGTCATATTGCTACGGGCAGGTCAGTGACCTCGAATCCCTTTGACCTCTTGACATTTGACCCCTCTCGGGCCTTTTGACCTCTAGTAGCCCCAGTGGCCTTACCTTACACACTCAGGGAGCCAGGCTTGCTGACCTGGCTACCTCTTCTCTTCCCTGCTGTGCCTAACCCCACGGCCTGACCTCTGGCTCCTGCCCTTTGCTGCCCCACCTAGGCTGGAATGAGCTCCTCATCGCCTCCTTTTCGCACCGGTCCATTGATGTCCGGGACGGCATCCTTCTCGCCACGGGTCTCCATGTGCACCGAAACTCTGCCCATTCCGCAGGCGTGGGAGCCATCTTCGATCGGTCAGTGGTCCTGGCCCGGGCTGGCCCTTAGTCGAGGGGTGGGGCTGTAGGCTTGGTCCGAGTCCAAGGCTGGCTGAGCTGTGACCTTTGAGTGACCTGCAGGTCCCTCTCCAGGGTGCTGACAGAGCTAGTGTCCAAAATGCGTGACATGAGGATGGACAAGACAGAGCTTGGCTGCCTGCGGGCAATCATTCTGTTCAACCCAGGTAAGCGGACCAAGACCAAGGCCCCCCTGGCTTCTCCTTTGCTCTGGAGGCTCCTAAATTACCCAGCTGCCCCCCTCAGTAAGACCCTCAACCCAGAACCTCCCAGCTGATGGAAGGAAAAGCGCCTCCACTGGATCCGGCCCCTTTCTCGTGCCTTCCTACAAACCCACCGGACCCAACCGTCGAGCAGAGGCCACCTAGGAGGAGCCCAGGGGGCGGCCGTGGGTCACACCCGCGTCTGTCCTGTCTTCCCTGCTGTGCCAGATGCCAAGGGCCTGTCCAACCCCAGCGAGGTGGAGGTCCTGCGGGAGAAAGTGTATGCGTCCCTGGAGACCTACTGCAAACAGAAGTACCCCGAGCAGCAGGGACGGTGAGAAGGCGCCCTGGGCGGGGGGGCTGCAGGGCATGGCCTGGGCCCGGGTGCCGCCTCCTCCACCCGCTGCTGCTCTCCTGCACCTCAGGTTCGCCAAGCTGCTGCTACGTCTTCCAGCCCTCCGGTCGATCGGCCTTAAGTGTCTAGAGCATCTGTTTTTCTTCAAGCTCATTGGCGACACCCCCATCGACACCTTCCTCATGGAGATGCTCGAGGCCCCCCACCAGCTGGCCTGAGCCCACCCCTCAGGACGGAGCGGCGCCTTCCAGGAGGACTCGAATCCTGGGGCGGGGGAGGGGGCGTGTTCCCAGACCAGACCTCAGGAGGGGTGCGCAGCACAGACCGAGCCCCCCAGGGCGGTCCTCAACCCTCTGAAGGGCCGCTTGGTACCCCACGTCAGAGGGGACTACAGACCCGTGAGGCCTGGGCGTCTCCCGTCGGTGGCCTTGGGCCTCTGAGTTGTTGGGGTCTCCCGTGGTTGGGGTGACCCCTCACCCGCCCTCCTCCAGCACACAGCACTGGCCCTATGTCAGGGCCCTGCTTCCTTTCCTTTGGCCTCACTCCCACCTGAGTGGAGGTGGGGAGCTCTCCAGGGATGGGTATTGGGGGGCAGGCCCCCCGAGCGATGGACGTGCAAGTCGGGCCGGGAGGCCACCTTCCTCCCAGCCCTGGCAGGTGGGGGCTCAGGAAGAGGGAGGGGTGACCTGTCCAGGCTCTGCTTTCACGCCTCACCTGCAGACTGAGAAGAGGGTGCTGTGGTGCAGGGCTGGTGCCGATGCAGGAACCCGTCTATTTTTAATTCCCTCTGAGGGTGGAGACTTGCAGTTAGACTCAAAGAAGTACTGTACTTCCCCAGGTCGGCTAAGAGATGCCGGGGTGGCGTGGGGATCCGGACGAGGCGGCTGAGGTCTGCCCGTGGGGCTCGCCAGGCCCTGGCCTTCCCTGCGCTCCTGACTGGGCTGGGAAGGGCCAGGCCGGTCGGCGGGCTGCGGGGGACCTTCCCCTCGCTCTTCTCCAGCCCAGCCGCATGGCTGTGGGGGACCCCTGCCTGCAGAGCCTGGGGCTGCATGAGTTTTACCCTGCGTCTCTTCTTGGGGTCCTTTCCCTTCCCTCACACATAAAATCGCTTTCAAATTAAAGTCGCTCTTGTCTGGACTGAGGTGGCTGGGGTGGGCGGCATGGCATCGGCTTGGGGGTATCCGGCCGGGCGCCCCGCGAGCTCCCTGCACGCTGCGCCGCCGCGGTTCCCTGGGGCCCGAGAGGCGGCCGCAGGGTGGGGGACACAAGGGCGCTTTGTCGGGAGGGGGAAGAGGGTGTGCCAGGCGGGGGCGGGGCCGGCGCTTCTCAAAGGCGCCTTGTTCCAGGGCCCTGCCAGCGCCAGGGGCGGCGGCGCCTCGCTCGCTCCGGCCTCCTCTCGGCTGCGCTGCGGGCTCCGGGCGGACCCGGCGCCGTGCCCGCCCGAGGGGGCGCGCTGGGCGCGGCGGCCTCCCCAGGCGCTGCCCGCCCGCCTGGCCGCGGCCCACGTCCCTGGGTGACCCCTTCCTCTGGACCCTTCCCGCCGCAGGACGCTTTCCCCGCCGCGCCTCTGGGTCCCGTTCACCTGGGCTCTTCGGCCCCTTCCCTGGCGCCCCCCTCCCGTCCCCTTGGACCTGGTTAGCCCGTTTGCCCCGCGCCTGGCCGCCCTCTGCCCCCTGCGCCCCCGGCCCCCTCCCGCCGGGCGCTATCTATAACCTTGTCTATAAATACCCGCCCTGCGCCCTGTAATTACGCAGGGCGGCGGCCGAGGTAATTACTGAGACCCGATCGCGAGGGGGCGTGGGGCGGCGACCCCCAGCACCGCCCCTCCCCGCCCACTGTGCCCTAAGTCCCGCCCAGGGTTCTGCCGAGAGGGGGTCTGGGCCCCCACGGAGGGAGGGAACTGGGGGCTGCTGTACGTTTGGGTGCTAAAATGGGAAGGGGCTAGTGACGACATAGATCGTGTCCGGAGAGGATCTTAGGGTACGGGCCACTGGGTCGCCGCGAGGAGCAGGGGTGCAGTCCAAGGGTCGGCACCGGAGGGAGGAGGGGTCCCCTTCCAGGTGGAGACTGAGGGTGGGGTTTCCCCGGCTGTGGGCGGTGGCTGGGGGCGG